TCATGCATGGTAATGGTATCAGACCGTCTCTCTGCAAGCAAATGATAACTTTTGTCAAGGTGTCATAATTTATAAAATTTAATAAAATTGAATATGGATAGTAGCAATCTCTGAAAAAAATGTACAATCTGTTTTTCTTCTTCTTTTTCTTCAATGTGATCCGTTGTCAATTTTTACATTATTATTTATTCTCAACAAGTGATCTCTATTCCATTAAATTAAATTCCATTTAAATAAAAATGTTCTACTTCTTCATTATAATATAGGTATTTAAATTTTATTTTATACAGTAAATCAATTTTTTTTTCATCTACCTTGACTTGGAAATAACAAATAGTAAAGATTTTTTTTTTTTATTCAATTTATAATTGTATAATAAACAAACCTTCCGCTAATTCAACGATTGGTTCCGTCGTCAAGCGATTATCATCGTTGTCATTGACGTCGAAGACCTCTTCGATCCTCAAGACGTCGTTGACTTTGTCGTTGTTCTCGTTGTCATCGTCGCTGTTATTCTCCGGCGTCTCAAACCGTCGAGAGTGAGTCTGCGGCGGAGAATGTGGCTGCGGCGACGACTGTGGTGGTGGCGGATGTGGAGCTCGGCCAGATCCGTGAGTCACCGCATAGTGTCGTTGGAGATTGCTCCGACGGGAAAACGAAACGCCGCACCAGTCGCAAGCGTATCTCACCATTCGCAGGTGGACCGTGCGCAAGTGGCGCGTGACGCTATCCCGCCGTGAGAATTCCCGATGACACACGGGACACACGGTCGGACCCAGTTCCGCCGCCGCTGGTGGTGGACCTCCGAATAAATATCCATCCATCTGCGACAATATCATGCTCACGTTAACCGATTGAATAAATTAAATAATCAGTTGGTAACCGTAAATACTGAACTAAAACCACGCGTGTGTAGTATGAAATATGACCTGAGATTGTCCTGAACTGTCATCACGTATTTAAATAAAAAATTCCAATTTCAAAAAATTAAAATAAAGTAAATACTTATCAATTAAAACTTTGAATAAGGCGAATCAATTTTTTTTTATTTGTTCAATGTAGTGTACAGTTACAACTAAATTTTACTATTGTGTCAGATAGACTATACTAACGTTACACACTATGCTAATCTCACTCACATATCGGCTTGTATTTAATTAATCATAAAAAGAAACTCTCCATCTATACTAACATTGGCTACAACTCTTCGTTTGAACGATATATGTTAGAGACTCCTAAATGTAAATGAATGATAAAAAAAGAATTCATATATTTATGGTAAAATTTGAAAAACATTATTAGAAGAAACGTTTAAAAAATAAATATATATATATGAAACTAATATGTTTAACTTAAAAATATTAAAAGTGTTGTACTCAATGTTTAAGTAGATATGTTTAAGACTCGTAAGAATAGTAAAAAAAAAATCTTTAAACGAAATAAATATAGATTTAAGGTTAAATGGATTAATAATGTTACATAATATATATAATCTCTGTAAACCTCGTATATTACATCTGTTAAAAGTTCAAAAAAATTATAATAATACTATCACACACTTACTATATAAATATTATTTCGAGTACTTACGGCTTTTAATCACAATAATCCAATGTGCACAAACAGTGATGCAATAGTTGTAGCTGCTGCTCGAACACACAACCTATCACACTGAACACCAAACCATAACTGAGGGTCTGCTGTAGGGACGTGACGCACAAAGACGAATCTTCTACGTCGCAGTGTCAGGCACTGGCAGGTACGGTGTATTGGAATGGAAACTTCCAGGAATTTTAAACTAACAATAGAGAAATATCCAGTGGTAAACAACACGTGTTCCTTTGTAGGCATCTATCGACGGAACGTTCCAGGAGGTTATCCTTTGTAAGTGGACTAAACAAAGCTCTTTAGATGCTTGTCACGATTTGCTCACCTTCGTCAAATGTAATGGCCTTACTAAAAGCTTTTAGAAACTCAACTAATGGATCTGTCAATCACCCGTTAAGTGGATTTCTTTGTATCCTAGGATCAAAGGGAGCGCCGCCGTTTATTGCTTTCCATTGTATCGAAAGATCAAAGAGACTGCCGACTACACCTCTCTCCGTGGGAGGTCTAGCACATCCCAGGATGTGCCGGTGTATCGAAAGATCAAAGGGAGCGCGGCCGCCGTTAATTGTTTTCCATTGTATTGAAAGATCAAAGGGATAGCCGCCAGCACTTCGCTACGTGGGTGGTCTGGCACATCTCGGAGGTGCCAGATGGCAGGGAAGAGGAAAGGGGAGGTGCTGGATAGTGCTGGAAGGGGGGAGGATATGTGCAGGATTGAAGCAAATGAAACTATCGAATGAAACAACCGAATGAAAACAACCGAATGAAACAACCGAATGAAAACAATCGAATGAAAAAAATCGAATGAAAACAACCGAATGAAAACAATCGAATGGAAACAACCGAATGAAAACAATCGAATGAAAACAACCGAATGAAATATCGAATGAAACTATCGAATTTGTGTTGGGGGGGGGGGAGGTGCTAGGGGGGGGGGGGATGTGCAAGGGGGGGGGGAGGTGCAAGGGTGGGGGGGGGGGGGAGAGAGGTGCAAGGGGGGGGGATGTGCAAGGGGAGGGGGATGTGCAAGGGGAGGGGGAGGTGCAAGGGAGGAGGTGCAAGGGGAGGGGGAGGTGCAAGGGGAGGGGGATGTGCAAGGGGGGGGGGATGTACAAGGGGAGGGGGATGTGCAAGGGGAGGGGGAGGTGCAAGGGGGGAGGTGCAAGGGGAGGGGGATGTGCAAGGGGGGGGGAGGTGCAAGGGGGGGGGGAGGTGCAAGGGGGGGGGGATGTGCAAGGGGGGGGGGATGTGCAAGGGGAGGGGGAGGTGCAAGGGGGGGGGGAGGTGCAAGGGGGGGGGGGGTGCAGGGGGGGGGGAGGTGTGGCCGCAGGAGGCGGGTGGTGGAGGTGGAGGCGGTGGTGTTGCTCCCCTTACTCCCCTCTTTAAGTCCCCCAAAGACTACTACTAACGTCCAATAAAAAAATAAGTCAATATGATATATTTGAATTCGATACAATAGTTTTTTGTCAAAATTGGTGGTTACCTTTTTTCATTAAGAAGGGTTTAGTGAAATAAATAACAACGAACCTTCTGAAAACAATATGCAATTCATGGAATTTATAAAACATACAATACCTTAATGAAAGGCAGCCAAGCACAAAAGTTTCATATCAAAAGACGAATTAATTAATTACCTCAAGTGAACTTCTGTCATCATTTTGCGTCTCCAAATTTAGCCTTTGTTAACTTATACAGCTGGGTTTTATTAATTAATAAATGTTGGTGTGTCTATTGTTTAATAAATTGAACTACTTTGACATATTGACTCAAGATTCTAAACTCTTGTTTAAAAATGAGGTTACAATTCGTTTTATAACTCCTTCAATTACACACGCTTGGCAATTACCTGCTTTTCATGAATGCTACAAATTCTTCGTTCAAAACTTACAGGCGCGGGCATCCATTGTATATTTTGTTACTAATACTTACTTAGTAAATATTAGGATAATATATTTTACCTGCATTTTTAACATGTTTTTAAAGTTTAAAATTCTTTGTTGAGTGAAATATTTGTTTATATTTTCACGTAAATGTATTTCTGATAGTTTTACTTTTGGCTCGTTAACTGTTGATATTTTAGTATGGTATAGCTAAAATCAGAGTTAGTGATGGATGAAAAATCTTAACCTTAGAAAACAACGTTTAATAGAAAGTCTATGAATTATTCTCGAAACACGACTTGTTAAACTAATAATAAGTACAGTTCCGTAATGAAAAGCAACACAAGGGTTTCGAAACAAAAGGCAAATTAATTAATTACCTAAAGTAAAGTTCTGGCATCATGTTGCGTCTCAAGACTTGTCCTTTGTTAATATAAGCAGCTGTTTTGATGATTATTAAACCTTTTACAGTTCCGTTCTTAGCTTTAATATAAACTTATATCAGTTGGTATTGTAATCAGTAAAGTATTTTCTGGAATTTATTTTAATTTAATCCAACCCTTCCTGTGTACAACGAATATGTTTATCTTCAAGATGTATTAATTTACTTTAAATTGTTGTTCTTAAATGTTGTAGGTACAGCCAAATAAGCTTATTAAAGCAAAGTTTGATTTCTAGTTTATTCTTAAAGAATAAATATTTTATATTCAGAAATTAATTAGTTTCACATATTTATATGATCCATTTGTTTTTCCGTTTTAATGGTTGAAAGTTATTTATTTTTAAATTGCTTGATAAGAATCCTTCTCAGCTTTTAGTCCTTATGTTTTCCCAAAAACATTCGAGCCACGATAGTTTATATGAAAGCTGTTTTTTCATATACAATTTTAAATGGTAATCAGATTAGAAAATAATTGAAGCTCCAAAATAGAACTTATGACATGTATACTTCGTCTTATATCAGCTTAATAATGAATGCATTGAAGTATTACGTTTGCCGGGTAGATCCTAAGCAAAATCTATTCCGCTTTTTAATTGGTGCCACTTGTTATTCAGCTATCTATTTATGATGCCTTATGACACCGGTGTACTTTACTTAGAAATAAGGTCAAGGTTTAGAAAACCCCTTACTAAAAACGTTAAAATGGTCAACAAATTCAAACCACCAGTATTCATTTTCGTTGAGGTCATTGTATAATTATTTGGCAAATACGATATCATCGGTTTTCTGATTCGACTCAATTTGTTGGTCTTCTACTTCGATAAGCAATGGATTTTTTGGGATAAACCCTGTTCATTTGCAGAATTGTGTAATATGTCTAGAATACTATGTTATAATAGAAAAATATCACTTGAATAGTGGGCGAATTACAAATGAAAAAATAAAACCTAAATAAAATATTTTTACTGGTAGATGAGTGTGATATTGGAACTGTACATTATTCTACTATGTAGCTTGTTCACGATAATTGGTCCCAGCTAACATAACACGTGTTGGCTCAGTTGTGTAATTTCATAATGTCCCTGAACAATATCTGTTCGAAGTTTACGTAATTCTTTTAATATTCATCATTCGTTGTTACGGATTCGTATATTGTGCGAGAAAAAGGTTGCTAGAATGTTGAAATCCTCTGATTTTGCAGTTGTAAGTAAGGTGTTGTAATACATCGTAATATAAATAATTTTTATCTGTAGCTCTTATTGTGAGTTTCAGATAATACATTGAACAATTAAGGTATAGAACTCTAGGGTCGGATGGTTTTTTTTTACAAGAAACACTTTCAAAGTAAAAAAATCGCAGAATATTTCTTTAGGATACATTTCTTTGTCTTTCTTTCAAAGCATTATCTTGGATTGCAAAAGACTAATTTGTTCAAAATGATGTTGAATTCTGAACATGATTGTTTTACTTTTCAAGAAGATCAAATGAAACTCGTGGGCCTATGTGAAAATAAATCGCTAATGTAAATATGTGTAAATAATGGAAAGTAAAATAAAATAAATAATAGGGAGTCGATTTTCGAAAACAACACTACATAGAATTTCAATAATATTTGTACCACATTTGGTGGATATTTAGAAAAATTATTGTTCAGGAGCTTAACTCCAAAATATTATGATACAAGATTTTATAATTTTCAAGGGTAATATTAATTTATTATACAAAAGATTATAAATGTGAATTTATCCGATGATATCTCCTGGTTCTAGAAAGTAATATAATATATTACTATAATAGTATGTTATACTATTTCAAAACATTTGATATATATGTTAACAAACTTTCGTAATTTGTAATTTTTGACACATGATAACAAACTGTCGGATAACACTTGAAAATACAAACATATATGTAAATATAAAAATTTTACTAAATAAATCCCATAGAAATCATTAGCGTATGCTACAGAATTTCAACTATTGTTTTCCTTGAATGTATTAAATGATCATATTTCTCCCTATTTGCATTGAATATACATGTATATATTATTTGGAGAGAAGGGACAAAATCCCTCCAAGCGGTAGATTGGAGAGGGTCTTATGTTACAAAGGGTAGCAAGCCAAAGTACCCTTAATTAAATGGCAATTTTGTGTGTAGAGTGCCTATTAGGAAAGGACTAACCGGCTAAGAGGACTGTAGGAATTAGTGCCCGATATATTCATAGGTAGAATAATATTAGACTTTATTTAGGATATGTATCCATTTAGTTTAACCCTATGTATTATAAACAATTCTAAGGTATCACGGTATAAATTATATTTCCCAATGACGAAAAAATGATGTTGGCTTCTTTAAAATATATATTGATTATCAATTTCTGTGCTTAAAAGCTCATTTTGAAAAGCTAAGGGTAAGCTAGAGGTACCCCCTGATGAATGAATTGCCCTGATAAATTTTTAAGGGGCCGTTGTAGGACCATAGATTGAAGGAGCAGACACTACTCCTTCAATATGTATGGTAGGACGCAAACCCACTATGTCGCTGCCTTGGTTACATAATATGTCGAGTTGGCGACTGAGCCAACGACATATGCATACTGTACAACTCAACTATACAATACAGTATTTTTGTAGAAAGATTATATGGCATATTGGCTGGTATTCTTTGAGTGTATTTAGGTAAAATTTTAGTATTTTTTTTTATTCAGCAAACACTAAAAGATACGCTATCTCCAGTCTAGGTACTTGAAGATAAGCTTAGTAGGCGTTGATTTAAATAGCCTCCCTGGTTGGTTCTGTGGCACAAGTAAATTGAAAAGACCTAAATCAGTATAGTATTCGAGGTGCTTAAAGATTTTAAAGCACAGTTCACTGTTGGACCACCAAATAACACAAATATGCCAGGCTTATTATCAAATTCATAAAATAATCTGGTTTATCGTAGCCTATAATCTGCTACATAAATAAGTATGGTTCTCATTAAAATGAAGAAGCCCGTAACCAACCAAGATGTTATGTTCTATGTAAAGTTAAATAAAGTAAAAATTTACCACGATATCTCAGTCACAGAAAGAGTTAGTTCACTAATTAAAGTAGACGTTACTGTATAAAGACTTAGCAATAGTTGTTAGTTTCAAAGAGTTATACATCGACTTTAACTAATATATAATTAATATAAAATATTAATTCTTAACATTGATAAAACCACCCACATTATTTTATGGATTGTCACATAAATATATTAATTGTGTTCTTTATGTGTAAATATTACTGTAAAATTCATACGTATGAAGAAAGAAACTTATGAAAAAGGTTTCATTTTATAAAAATGCCACTTTAATCTCAAACCTATATACGGTATTAATTAATACATGCCATATTATATTTGATGTGAGACTTGCATTAGTGTTGTCTTGACACTCAATCCAAGGTTTATAATTACATACTCCATTAGCCAAGGTTTATTCAGCGGCAAGTACAGTTCACAGCAGTGCCTCTCACAGGCTGTGTCACATTCATCACCCCAACAAAACCTGTTCCATTAGGCAAATGCAAACTACCTCTAGCATTGTCTAAGGGTTCAACTATTTGTTCTGATGATGATCGGAGTGTACAATCCAAATCGGCCACTACTGCCATCTTTCATGTATATAGGCCTACTAGCTTGTTAAAACAGTAAGCGTATAGGTGTAAAAATATGTTCCAAGTGTTCGTGTTTTAATTTTCATTGCGTAAATCATAAAAAGCCTGAAACATATGTTAGTACGTTTTGTACAGGGCCATATATGGCAAAAATCTGCACTTTTTGATTGAGATATGGCACTTTCAGTGGTCATAGCTGATACCAAAAGGGAACTTTTATGTGTTTAGGTTCGAGAATGGTAAAACCCGATTTTTACCCCATAAAACCCCCCATAATTCGCCGTTCTTTTGGTCCGGTCATGCTGGTTCGAAAACTTGTTTTAAAAAAATGTAGGTATACGTGTTTATACCAAATTTCATAAAAATCTGATTTTTTTTGCACAACTATAATGTTACTGACCAAAACTTTCATAAAATATTATTTTTTTAGTTTTTATAAAGATTCTGCAGAACGATTAGGTTTTACAGTTAAATGTTAAATATAAAAAAGTCTCCTCTACAAAACAGCTTTAATATAAAAAAATACTTATTGAAATCAGACCATTAGAACCTGAGGTACAACAAATATTGTGCAACAGTACGAAGGCATATGGCGGCCATTCATTTTGGTGTCCTATACGGAATTTGAAGTGGCTCCCGATCTGAAAAGTTCCCTTTTGGTATCAGCTATCACCACTGAAAGTGCCATATCTCAATCAAAAAGTGCAGATTTTTTTTGTAGGTCTACACACCGTACTATGTGGACAAGTAAGCCCCCACCAAATATTTCTAATCGTCCAATAATAAAACTCCATGTTTTCCCTATACTATGTTGAATTCGAATAGTAAACATCCCAGACTTAAGTACGAAGAGATTCTCAAGTACAGATTCAAATAGTGTATAATTTATATTTCCTAATTAAAATATTATTTTTAGAATTTTGTTTAGTGATTCACGTGTTTATATTGCAAGTTTAAAGTGTAACTAATACTCATTTCTGTTCCAGCTACTCTGCGTTCTTATTGCCATCAATGTAGTAAGAGGCAGCGGCGGCCATGGCACGGACACGACTTCCAGTTCAGGCGAAGAAGGAAAGAAAACCTCAACGGTCTCTGAATCGCACGGAACGACAACCCATAAGAAAACGGAAACCCATACCACAACATCGCAACACTCGGTCCAACAACAGACTAAATTTAAAAGGACCTTAAGCGTCGGCGTAAAGTTAGTAACAGATGTTGTAGGTGGTGGTATCAATGGTGCTAAAGAGAAAGCGATGGCATTTTGGCACGAACATCACAATGGTCAAAAGGGACCTCACCACTGAGTGTGGCTAAACCGAATACATAGGTTTTGTCTGATTCGCTATTTTATTTACCTAGTAACTCAACCTTTAACTCAATAGTCTAGTGTAAGAGCGTGGTTAAATGTTTTTTTTTTTAGTTTCCTGAATAAAACTTTATAGGTGATTTTAAATGAATTCAATATACTTTTAAGCTCAAAACACTATTTGTGTATGTTCCTACTTACATTGACCTTTCTTGCTGGTAGAAGATTTCCCTTACATTGAGCTAATTATTTTTCCTACCACTGCATAGAAAGGATTACATTGCCACACCTGTAAACAGTACGAAAAGTAGCTCATTTTCGCTGAGTAGGAATGATCCAGCTCACTAAATCACTAATCAGCTGATTTCATTGTTGGTGTTTCTATAAAACAACAACATTCAGTATTCAAATAACATAACTTAAATGACAGGTTATATAAAGCTAAAAAGTTATTCTGTGTGTTATGAAACTTTTTTTATAGTGGTAAGAAAAATCATGATTGTATTACGAGCATAAACAGTCATTGCTGCTCTCTAAATCCATGACCATATACAGTTCTCAAGTGGCATTTACGTACTTTAACACATACAATAGTTATTATCTGTAGGCTGTAGACGTACCGAGTGCTATACAGAGTATTTTGAATTCGAAGTTGTTTTAACACAACATATATCCACCGTAACCTAGATTCTCACGGAGGAAATTCATTTGTATTCGGCATAAACTCAAAAATTAGACTCAAAATTCAAAAATATTGAAATAGACGTGTGCAAGTTAAAGTATCAACTAGAAATTCTCTTAGTTTGCAATAAACTGCGCAGGCGGTGTTCTTTAATTTCGTTATAAAGGAGTCTGTCCCACGTAAACATGTAAAAGGCTGCGACATATTAATTATTATTTATAAGTTTTCAAATACTCTATTTGTACAATGAAAGAAAAAAACTGCTGTTTAACTGTGTGTTTAACAGCAGTCTGCTTGAGTTTCCATAAGGGGCTGAAATTATTAATGAAATAGTGTAATAACACAACCATCAAAACTGAATATATTTTATAAATATTCGTTATTTAACATAAGGTCATAATACTTTATGATAAAGTATTACAGCAGAAGCTACAACAGTGAATAAAAACGATATAGCATGAGCCTTGATTGGGACAATTGTACCAATTACGTCTAACAACTGCTAACCACCGCAGTGCGCTCTCTAGCGTTGTAATCAGTTACTGATGAAGCAATTGAGTGTTTTAGTCACTAGAACATTCGCGAATAATATATTGCGAACCATCTTTCTCAATTCACAATTTGAAACAACAGTTTTTTTTTTACTGATTTGTCTCGTAAATGTATTAGAAAACATATTTACCGAACATTTATTTTATATCGCAATGAATTGAAAATTTAACTCTCACTACGATACTTGCTTCATTGATTTTCATCTGAGATTGATTTTTCTACTCGTATAAATTACGTTAAGGTAGTAGTGAGGAGAGTTAATTAGTAATTTCAGCCATATATATTTTTTTTTATTTCAAGTTATTAGATATATGGGGAGTCGGTGGCTCAGTTGGTAGCGTCACGGACTTTGGGCCCAAGGCAGAAGTGTCGTGGGTTCGGATCCTGGTTACTGCCACAAACTTTTATCAGTACAGTTCACCTTTGTACTGTACCGGCTCACCCCTTGCTTTGCTGGATACGTTCCACGCACAGATCTGTAGTCTATGTGGACGGGCAAATGCAAGGTTAAAAGAGGCCGCCAACCTATTTTTTTATTATAGGTGACTAAGTCATATCTCACTTTACGATTAGTAGGTTTGATGGAATCCACAAGATTACTACATTGTATGTTTTTATTATTTCCTTTGTCAAAATTTCAATTTCTCTCATCCACACTTTTCAACCATACTTTTGTTATGCCACACAACCGGTACCAAAAATATCTTCTAGATGGGAACCGGAGTTTTGCCAACGGGTGTCAGGTAGATGGGGGGGATGCCTTCGGCCACCTCTTGGTGCGGAGATTTGCCAACGGTGGTGGTGGGAGAAAGAGTGTGACGGAGGGAAGGAGAGCGATTGTCAGGGTTGTCTACGCTTGGCAGTTATGCGCTTGTCGCAGTGGGTTAGGTTAGGTTAGGTTAGGTTAGGTTAGGTTAGGTTAGGTTAGGTTAGGTTAGGTTAGGTTAGGTTAGGTTAGATTAGATTAGGTTAAAAATTCAATACATATCCTTTCACAGTCAGAAGTGCATAACTCCATTACTTTGAACACAGTCAGCATCTTGCCTGGTTTGTCCACCCCTAGCGGAAGCCACCCTCACGGTCACGTGTAATCTCTCTCCCTCCTCCACCCGTCCTCTCGCGCAACCCACAACCGTTGGCAAGACTCCGCAGTATGTGGAATTCATGGATGGGGACCCTTTCTACCTGATACCCGTTGGCAAAACTCCTACACTCCTTCTAGATTTACCAAGTGAATTATAATCTCCCTACAACTTATATAGATTGTAAAGCAGGATGCCTTGTTAACACATTTTAAATTCATGTTATTGCTCTATTGACCAACTTGATAACTAAGGCTTAGTATGTTTATTACTGGGAATGTGTTTGATGGTGTTTGAGCGGAGGGAAGCGAAGCTCTTTGCGATCGGCTTCAATGAAAACTTTCCAACACTATCACTCAATAACGGCTTAACATATTTTAGCCAAACTTACCAATGTTGTTTCAACGAATGTTTTGAAGGTTTGAAACTAAAATATTTCAATTCTTTTAAATGCCTATATAATTTTGTAGTAACTTAAAGTTATTAAATTTTAACATTGCCCTGTTGGTTGCCATTATGGTTACAAAGTAATGAAGTAAATTTAAACAAAGCATCATAGCACATGTTTAAAATCAAGCGAATATACGACCTAAACAACGTACAAAGGAAAATCTGATGACCACTGATCATATCATACAGAGAAAGTATAACATACCATTTGGAAACTACCACTGATATAAAAGGTACAGTATTTAAAAGATGTTATTTATGTAATATAAATTATGTTATAACAAATAATATTTATCTTACGTGATTGGGAATTATAACTACTTTATGAATCAGCAGTATAAAAATAACTAGGTGTTCTAAAATCAATATTATTACCTTAATAGGCTATTATGAAGATGCGGTCTTTACTTTAAACAGTGCTAGTAAACTTATCATCCTATAGTGTCATTTAAAACCTATTTAATGCTTGTTTCATGTGGAAAGGATTTAGTGCACCAATGTCGACTATATACCGTGTGTTTCATAGAAAAATACAGAATTAATATTGATCTTATGTAAATGAGAGTAGTTTGTTTTTAAGGACGATTTCAGAATGCATTTTAAAAAACTGCCTGATATTTGTAGAAAATGAAGACGAGCATTAACTGCCCCAAACGCACGAACAACTACTTTTAGCAATGTTTTGAGATAGTTGAATGTAGAATACTTGATTGAAAACAATGTTTTTTATATGTCAAAAGTAGAAAATTTATGGAAACAGACTTTATAGTATGATTAGAACAATTCGTGCAATTCTCTCAAATCAGGTAAGTATTAACAAAATTACTTCTAATAATATGGATCTATCAAGAATTATTTCTACCTGAATTGCCAAATCTGACGAAGATTGAAGAAATGTCTAATAGTCGGGCTCAACCAGAATTGTGGGTTCACCAGATGACCTTAGCAAGCAAACATAGAAAAATATCGATACAAAGTATATGTATGAAATGTCCACATCTTTCCTTATGCAACTTGTTTTGGATGTTGATAGTTCTGTTCTGAGACAAACTGATAAGTAGTCGAAATGATGAAATAGCTGTACGGGGTTTAATCTTATATTATATCTTAAATACTTACATTATTACAATAAACATTATTTTAATTTATTGCTTTAAAAACCATAAAACGTAATTGCTCCGCTCAACAGGCTTTGACTGCTATGAAAGCAATCCTAGTTATTTTTTCAAACAAAGGTTAGTGTTTCAAACTTTAGAGTGAAAAAAATTTTATTCATTTGGACACATCAACGAAAATATTATGGTTTTGGGCCACATTCCCTAATCGTGTTTTTAATTATCTACTTCAAAATGCCACTGGTGTAAAAATCTACAAACCGTCTTTAAATCTTTACTGTTAAACAGATTATTTGTTATGGTACACCAACATTATACAATATTTAGCATATGAAACGTTACATGATATGTTTCAAAAACCAATATTAAAACACAGCTTGGTGGCAAAATATTAAACTTCTAACAATATTGTCATCCGTTCCTTTCCTAAGACATTGGAATATAAATTTCTTACTGCTAAATATGGTTTTTATACGCTAAACTGATACCTTCGATTAATACAACCTTTGGCCAAGTGTCTTTACGTTGTTGTTCACTTAAAGCAGCAGTATAAGGAGTGTGTTATCAAAGGCCAAAACAATTTATCTTATTCAAGTAGTTAATTACAGTGCTAATCAAGCTGATAAGGAGAGCAAGGCAGAACCCGCATAAGTGGTGAAGTCCTATGAGGGTAGCTAACGTTACAAAGGATAATGTCGAGAACTCTTAATGAAACTCTATTGTAAGGCTGGCAGAGAGTTTGTGTATGTACCATATAAAATAAATTATTTTCCCTCTCTTCTAAAAAACAGAGATAACCTGTTCTTACGTTACAGGTACATTTAAAATAAATGTTGACAATAGTGTTTCTGAGAGTAAACAATAGCTGATTCATTTTTTCTTTTTGAAATAAATATATATATTCACTATACAGGGTGCTTTTTTATTCTTTTTTTACTTGATTCTTTATTTATGTAAAACCTACAATAGATACAAATATACAGTTATTTTTCGTCTATTGACGTAGGGGCACAATTGTTGTGAATTTAATGTCAAGTTCCCATTCACCCCCTTTCTCCCCCTACCCTTAACTTAAAATGTTTACATTGCAAGGTACCCCTTTTTACATATGAAATGTGAGGGCATGAAAAAATAAAAGAATGGCGCAAAATAGAGATCCCTACAACAATTCCATCAATAGATATTGTAGTTCAAAATTTAAATTTTTCGCCCCCTTAAAAAAACACATTTTTTTAAACGGTTGTAGTACGAAATGGTAAGAGCTAGCAAAGATTTGAAAGAATTTTTTCGTGGTCAGGAATTACATTTTCTACAAAACAATCTTAAGTGTTTTCCGAAAATCACATTCCTCCACCTTAAACAATTGCCCTACTTCTAAAATTTGCAAACTTTCTCCGATTTTTTACGTTTTTTTTATCGAACAAGCATTTTCAAAGGTGTTACTAGGTTGTTGTGAACATGGTTGTTCAATAAAAAAGCAAGTTAAAATGATTTAAGATTCACATAAGTTTTATTTTTTTTTTATTAATAATCTAACACCATATGAATTTGGTGCATGATAAAAAACAGTTGTGAAATATTTTAATTTTAAGTTTTGGATACCTAATAAATTTTTAAACGTAAAAGATCACATATTGCATATTTTCTTAAAAAAGGTTTGAATTAATGTAAACCATTTACCCAAAGTCTGACAGTAAAAAATTTAAAAATAATTTAGAAATATGTATCTTTCCACGATACGCCAAACCGCCGTTAGTGATATAGATGATATAGAAAATTAGGATGCAGATTACACCCATTATGGTGTGTAAATAACATATAGAATCACTATGTTGGATGAGTTAGCATTTTTGTTTTGAATACAAGCATATTTTCTAAATTTTCTTTTGATAAGATATAATTTGATTTTCAAACAACACTTACGAAGGTAGATTTTTTACTTGGATATATTTATTTTCTATTTAAAAAGCCAGCCATCTATGACACCATTATTAGAAATTAAATAGCCATATCCATTCTACTTTAAAATAATTTATCTAATAGACCAAAAAGAATGTCATTTATTGATAAATTGTTGTTTTCATAGTTAAATATGCCTCAACGTAAGGTACAGTGCACAGTATATTTTTACTTTTTAAAGTAGTATATAACATACTTGGTTGCTCACAATACCCATTTTTGGATCATAAAAATATTTACTAGTTACTTGAAATTGGGGGAGATGCCCAGTTTTTCGGTCAGAAAATTAATTTTTTGTTTATTGCATTGAAAAATTCTTCATCTCTTCCTGATTCAGAAAATTTATAATTTTAATATATTTACTACAGTCTAACAATCATAAAAAATAATATAAATAGTACTACACACTCGGTTTTAGTCACAAAAGGCTGAATTAGCATCAATAAAATTTAAGTTAGAAATTACATTTTGTTGAATGGCAGCACTGAATTAATGTTGTTGCTAGGTTAAATTGTCAGCAAAAATCTGTTTCTGTTTGTTTTTTTTTCTTCATAACAAATGTGTATAATAATAGTGCTGTTTGTGATGAGGAATAATGTGGCATAAGGGTAGGCCTAGGCCAGCCTAGGCTTGACTTAAAATGAGTTTTTCCGAAACTGTGTTTTTTAATGTTTAGGTACCATTTTCCAGACTACTATAAATACCACTGACTTCAAATTTTTTTCTGTTACTTAGGACATCATGGCCCACAAAGTGTACTAAAAGTTTGCTTCTATGTTTAAAAAAACATGAACAATAAAATTAATTAATATTTGTAAAATAGTGAAAAAATTATATATTTTTAAAATCTTAATAAAATATGATTTTTTTGGTAGAACATATTTAAATTAGTACAGTTTGTTTTAAATATCAATAAAAATAAGTAGTTAAAATTTGATATGCATAGCTATAAGGGTTCTTTCTTAAATGGTACCTAAGCAACACGATGTTTACCCATATAAAATGCATTGAATCTAAAAAGTGGGCATCTCCCCTTAAAGCAATGTTTGATTTAAACCACAGCCACCTCTAATACATGTATACACACCCATAGTAATGTATTAGAGGTGGCTGTGTTTAAACTCAATCTCGTTTAACTTACCATAGTTTTTAAATATGTATTGCTAAAATATACACACAAGGGAGATATAAACACAACATTTATTAAAAATAAGATTTTTATTCACAAAAACTTACAATATTTAAAGCGTTTTCGTTGTTTTATAGTATTCGAAGAAATAGAAACTCATTTGAGAATACATAGTGGTTAAAATACAGTATTATAAATATCATAATAATTATGCTTTGATAGTTTGATTATATAAAGTTTTACATATTCCATACCAATATAAAAATACATTTTGATCGTCATGCATTGAATAATAAGGCTTCACGTTTAATACTGATGTTTTAAGTCACAGCCACCTCTAATACATTTTTACATGTATTAGATGTAGCTATGTTTAAGTTCAAGTTTAAACATTGTAATTAAGTCATATGCTCGTTTATAGGAGTTAACATTATAACAATTTAACATTATACTGTAGTTTCAAAATCATGCATAAGTTTTTAACCCCTTAGTTATATAGGTATTTATAAGTAAAATGTTTACATTATATGTCATCATCAATGTTATTGGATTAATGATCAGATGTTGTATTATTTCTCTAATGCTAATGAGGGGTTGTTAATTAAATACTTAAATTACTCGTAGTATTTTTGAAAGTGTGTCTTGTTAATTTATTTTATCTGATAATCATTGGTTCAATAAGTTGTATCAAATGACTTTTTCTATCGGATTGTCTTTTTTAATATCAATGATTTTGTATCTCCCTATTTTCAAAGCTTATTTTCAAATCTTCTCATTCTCAAATCAAATGTTTAAAGAATACTATATACTGAATGAAAGTTATATCATGATATAATAGCTGTTTAAATAATATCTGACAAACGTTTTTGGCAGAGTTTCATTAATTATTCATTGCGAACGTATTAGTTACAAACTAGTCAAAGCTGTTGTTCTTCGTTTTAACTAATTTTTTTTAGTGACATACTCCTCTTCTCCTGTGTTCTTGTTCTTGTTCAAATCTCATTCTTCAATTCTCCTGCTGTTGACCAATTCTTCCTTTTTAAGGTATCCCTCCTATTCGCATATTTAAACTTTGCCCAATTTTCTGCTTTTGTCGCATTCTTCCTCCAGCTAAATGTCTTATTTCCATACATTTGTATATTGGAGTATCTTAAATCTGGATCTATTCTTCATCTTTAATTATTCTTCCTCTAATATTTAACCCTATCTCCTCTTCCCTAGTATTTCTTCTATTGGTGATTTCCTGTTTCTGATTAATACTTTTTGATTATTTTCTATTATTCCTCTGCAAGACCTCCTCTTCTTTGTCCTCATATCCTCTTCTTGTTATTTTCTCGTCAGAATGGAATACTGCAGAAATTACCTCATTTTCCTGGAGAGGAAGTTTTTTTAGATTCTGCAGGCTGGAGATTGTAAAATTCCTCCTTTTCCTAGATGTTTGTTTTTCATGTATTCCTTCTTCGCAATTTTTTTCAGGAATTCATCTTCTTTACTGATATGACCGCTTTACGTGTTACTCTCTGTAGGACTTACTCCTGAGTCAGGTCACCGTTTGTTCCTTGACAGAAGGTTGTTCAGTTTCTGCAGATTGGCGAGCGTCACTCTATCTCCAGGCGTGAGTCTAAGAGCCTCTCTATAGCTTGAAGCTGCCTGCTGATACTTGCCTTGGAGGTGAAGAATCGCTCCTAGGTTGCTGTGACTTGTGGCATCCTACAGCAAAATAGAACACAGTAAGTTTGGTATTTTTACTTCACTGTTATTTCAATTTGAAAACATTTGTCTCCAGCTAATATGATTTTCTTTATTTTGCTTGTTTTTCCTCCATTACGTTAGAAATGAGAAGGAAGCTGTAAGTTATTTCTTGTTTTAATGTGTTTCGTGTTTACGAGCATGTATGTATAAGAAAATAAATTTTCTTATAGTTTAGTTTTGTACAAATATAGTGCTTAGATTCTCGGACTTCGGTGTAGGGGGGACGGGTTCAATTCCCAGGATATCCACAAAACATATGGGTTTGTAGCGTTTTATCAAAAGAATTTGAATAACACTCTCTCTCCAATCTCTTCCAAAAATTGTTACAGGGCGTAGAAAAGAGTAATTTTAAATTTAATAATGCACTTAATGCGTCGTAATATGTTAGGATGATTGCAGGAACACAAGATGGAGTAAGGTGATCTATTAGTATTTATTATTTATTTCTACTACGTCACAGCAACAATTTGACATAACGACCTCAGATTTTAAACTTCATGGAATTTGTTTTGTAACAATTGTCTTGAATATTATCTTAAAACACGTGTGTAATAAGCAGGCATCTAGAGAAATTAGTTGTAAATTCAGAATAAATTCTTCATTTTAGCTTTACTAAAGAAGCAATATCAAATATTTATGTTTCTGAAAGTACATAAAAATAGATTATGGTAAGCGGTGATCGAATTTGATTCCAATCATCAGACAAACAATAACCAGCTTACCGCTAGTAATAGTAGATAATAGGTGAATGAACTTTTATATGTAAATACCGTCTTGTAAAACAACAGTGCGTTAAGTATATTCATGTACTTCTAGTAAATTCAATAACATTTACAATGCTGATCAATAAGTTATTTACGTCAACAAAATTAGCGCCAATATTTCAACTCCTGCTGCTACATTACCTATATTTTCTTATCTTTCTGCAATGTCACTAAACTCTGTATCTCTTTAGTAGTTGTGTAACATCTCTTTAAATTTACAACCTCCCACCTGAGGGCGCAGCTCCCTCGCCTGACGGTACATAGCCTCTGCCTCTCCAAGTCTACCGGCGTGTCTAAGAGCCACGGCTGCAGAAATGACAAGAGAATGATGCTGGGGCTGCAGCTGAGCCGCCCTTAGATACAGTGAAGCTGCCTCACCCTTCCGGCCCTGCTTGACTAGAAGCTGTCCTGGAAAACAAGTATGGAGGAAACAGTTAAAATATTTATAGGGAATGTTTTACATATTGGTAGTGTTAGATGTAATGGAATAGAGTTCAGCAAGCTTACAGGAAATAAATAAATTTCAAAAGAGCTTAAGTGAGATGTTTTTTTTCTAATCAAAGGGTTCAATGTGGCTTCGATGTCTTATACTCCAACTAGGAACAGCAGTAAAAGTGTTTAGTCAGTAGTATAACTAAATTATAGTCAATAGAATCAGCCAGATATTGAGTAAAGTACAACTTTGAACCGAACTAGAAATTCCATTTTCATGTTGGATTTTTTCCGGTTTTAAAATGAAAGTAAACGTAGCCTTTAAAGGTATTGAACCTCTGGGAAAATGTGATGCTGACAATTACTGATTTATGTTGTATAGTCTACTCCAACTTTAGACCCAGGCCAAAACACAAACTCAAAGGTCACATAGTTTTTATGTCATTTTTTTATATCTAGGTTATAAAAAAAATGGTATACAAAACTAAGAAAAGTATTTTCACAGTGGTCTCAATTTTATTGGCACTTAAATTGATTTTCATGTTTTTTAATTGACTACAGCTTCTACACATACATGAAATGTGTACCCTGATATCTAAAAGTCTACGTTGTGACTTAAACACACGGATATCAATAAATTATAAAAACAAATGTTTTGAACTTTTATCACAATCAAGTATAAAAATTACTTTATCAAGATTAATTATATCAGGTAAATAAATATTGGATATAAGTTATTAAGTAGTAAGTTCTCTGAACGTGAACAATACCACTTGATTAACTACCAAATCTATATGTTTATTTTTGAATGATTACCAAATTTATTGCTTTTTTGTGTCTTTCTTGGAGTAAAATGTGAACAATAATACTTATTTCACTAAAAGGCTTCAAAAGAACATTTCCGTAAATTACTCCTCTTTAAAGTGGCAAAAGAATGAACAAAGGGTTGAATGTGATAAGAGACTTTCTGCAGGAAAATTAATTACAAAAGTGGACCAAAAAGAATGGGTCTCAGCGGTTGTCACGTGAGGGGGGGGGGGTGGGGTAGGGCGCGGTCCTGTAATAACACAAACACTCATTATATGGGACAAAATGACTAATGAGGAGTCGCCACAGGAGTGGCTTAACGCTGTTGGTCGAGTCAACTTTTGCCGCAACGGCGCGTTTCCTTACCCTGGCATGTTAATTAGAGTTTATTATGTTGAATTTTAGTCTCAACAAAATTAAATATTCAAAACTGCTTAAATTTCCTCTTTAGGTTGTAGTGTAAGAGGTTTTCAGCACTGCATTAAATAACCACTGCTCCTGTATGGATGCAAGACCATAATAAGGATGACCAGATGAGGATTTTTAATTTGTTTATTATTCAAATTCCACATTAAATTTGAGGGTGGCCAAAGAATGTTTCACTCTGATTCAAACTAAACATAAAAGTGTCAAAGTTTCCTGAACGGCAATGAACTGCTTTTTTGGATACAATTATTACATTTCAATTCATAATACGAAAGCTGAGGTACGATTTCACTGTGATATACTATCATACCATATTTTTAATATAATTATTGATTATTCATTATTAATATAATCATTATCAAATGTTAATATAATTTTTTTTGAATAATTTTAATATAAAAAATAAACTAAATACAGTAGTAGAGGTACATAAAATTTATGTTTTGCTGTGATAAAGTATTCCTGTAAAACTATGTTATGAAAAATCTGAATCAGGTAGAGGCTATTTTAAATATACCTTCCGTGTGAAATACAAATTTAAAATATGTATGATAGTAATATTTTGAAAATAAGTGTGACATTTGACTCCTTTGATGTAGATGGTGCATATGAACTTATATATCAGAGAGTAAATAATTTTCAATGACATATGCAAATAATCTTTGCAAATGATTCTACATGATTAATGAGTTAATTTGATCACCTACCGTAACTCACGTAGTTAGCTGGATTGTTCGGGGAGCTCTGAAGATTGTGAAGGTAGCGTTCCTCCTCTCTGGAAATCGCAGTTCTCTAAAAATAAACGAATCATCTTTGATTAAGAAGATAGTTGTAAAAAATTCATAAAATTAATACTAGTCAAGAAAACAGTTCATTTTTTTTTTTTTTTACTTTTTTTATTATTATATAGGAGAAGATAGTTTGGCAAAAAATGTACATACAAGTCATTTAATTCTTAGTGTTCGCAACATGTCTACTTGGAGTCTGCTTAAACCTACCGAAATTTTATATATTCAATGGTATCTCAGTAAGAACTCAATTTCGATTCTCCTAGTCACCATCGGTTTTAGAGTAAGAGGTTCCTCTGTACATAACACGATTTTTATCTCCAAAGACCTTATTTTATTCTGTGAAAGACATCTGCTTAAGTTCTCCAAGCCAACAAAGCACGGTATTTTCACATATATAAAATTCGTACAAGACTTGGAAGAGGGTTGAACACTGCAGTCATAATAGCATTTCTGTGCTTTACTAACTTGGCCTCTTAAGTTCCATATCATTGCCCTACGTACAAATAAAAGATGTAGCTATATAAGTACATACATGACTGTTAAATATTATACGTGATATAGATCAATTTTATATTTTAACAAGGCGTTCTAACTTCAAAAATATTAGTACCCCTTAGAGCAAAAAATACAACAACATATAAAATAAATATTTTTCGAACACGGTGGATCAAATCGTCTAAGCTACTGTCTAAGCTACTACTGTTCATGCCCAGCTTACATCAAAGCATGGCTGTACGAACAGGCGTTGCTTTTCAAACTCGAAATCACCCCTTCGTGTTGTCACTACTTGCTTGGACATCGTACTTAAATATCATATTACGTACATATGAGTAGGTATATTAGTAACAAACAAAAGGATTAAACAAGAAAAAAAATATTACATCTCGAAGTTTCAAGCTACAAAGCATCTCCCTTCATGTCTAAAGTTTGTAATAACTTGTTGTGGTTAATGTAAACGTAAATCCGCAGGTTTAAGGACTTCATCGAGTTTCCTCACAATTCATAACATCAACAAGTCTTGCTGTATAAAGATAAGCGGTGTTGATCTAACCGCTATTAACCCTAGAGCAAACAGAGCCCAAGTTTATTGCATCAGCCGTCTAATCACTGCCCCTAGTTTGTTCAAACTGTTTGACCGCCCTTTCCCAAGTTTACACAAACTTCATTACCTTTAAATGTTTACCATCGTTTGACGCAGATAAATCATAGTTATATTAGTTTCTAATTTAAGCTCACATAATGCGTTTCTGTAATAAATTTAGGGTGTTATTGTTTGTATAATATGTAGGTAACATAAATCATTTATTTTGTATAATTTCACTTTTGCCAAGGATTTTCGTTTTTATATCAGTTTTATAAAATAACTGTACATGTACAAAAATAAGATTTACATTTAGAATAAAATATTTGTTAATATTGTCACACAAAAACATCTTCTCTTAAAGTTGTTGGAATATTAATATTTCTGTATGCACTTAAATTACCAATACTGATAATTTCCATTGATAGACATCAACTTTAAACATCTAAATACCTAATATCAATGATCTTACTTACATTTTTCAACACTGTGTGGAAGTGGTTGTCGTTTAAACTGAGGTTTTCAACATGTTTCTTTGTTAGTTTGAAATTGTCATTTTTACTTAGATCCCCTAAATCTTTTCTGCTGGTTGATTGTTCCTGAAAATAAGACATAATATTTAATTATAATACAGCAGTAATTATTTCAATTTTTAAACTGTTTTCCTGCATTTTTGATGAGTAAAACAATCTTCGTGATATGCAAAATCAATGTGATTTTTAGCGAGGATTGTTAATATTTTTTTTATTAAAAGGAATTAATACATTAACGATGTGTAACACAACCAACGAACTGGAATTGGGATATTATACAATATCCCATCACTCTACTAGCAAACATGGTAGGCTACGAAAATCCACATTAATAAATTAGATTTTAATGAGTACCAGGCCCACAGAAATAATAAAAGTTGTTACCTGAATGATAATCGAAGTCTGATCTCCGCAACTCTTTTCCCCACACAACCGTTTGAGACAATGTAGACAGGATTTCTTAGCTTCTTCGTGGGCTCGAGGATCTTTCAAGCCTTCGGTGTCAAGTTGGAGACACTTAACGTAATGTTCTTCAGCCTCCTCAAAACGGGTTAAGGACTCCAACGTCTGTCCCAAGTTTAAGTAGGCCACTGAAAGCAAAAGGTAGTTTACATAAATAATATATAAATTGGCAGCTTTATTCGACGTTATTATTCTAAACCTCGAAGTATCAACCTAACACTTACTACTGATATAAAAACAATATCTTTAGTATGCAAGAATGGTGTATACTCTTTTGATTACATATCTTGAATCGTTATTGAGAGATTTAGGTCAGATTGACTCATTATGAAGATAACATCATTGGTAAATATTAAAAACATTTCACGGCTTGTTTGTTTTAAGAGGCTTTTGAACTTCGTTTTAGCCTTTTGTATTTGGTTTTCAAAATAATTATTCGTTAAATATTTTAAATTGTTTTCGTTAGAGTAAAATAAAAAGGATATACATGTTAAGCTGGGAATTCTAATTTTAACAACAACAAAATAAACTATTTATATGGTATTAACCATTTGCATTGTATACTACCCTTATCTATCAATGCAAGCATTTCCCTTATCTATCAATGTTTGAAAATTTAATTAAATCATATCACATAAACAAGTTGACGAGGTAAGTACAGTTCAATGCTTAAACAGGTTCCAAGTAAATTATTTAAGGACTTTTGCAATTATAGTATAAAACAGAGACTTCTTTTTGAGTTTACAATTTTTTTCCAAGAAAAATTTTATTTTGCACATATATGCACCTCATACACCTAACTAAGATTTATGTTAAACATGAATTGAAAATGTACTTAGAAATACAAAGGAAGATCGTACACTTCAGTAATAAACACTCTTCCGATTACTTAAGTTGTAAGTTTAAGTAATATATCACACACATTTGATAATAAGAGATGCGGTAAGGAGCTCCAGAGTTTCATTTACCTGCCAAAGACGGTCTGTATTTTATAGCACTCTCGTAAGATTCTACAGCTTCTTGAAATTTGTTTTGGCGGTTCAGCAAATTCCCTCTGAAAATTTAATTTAATATTTTAGAGTTTAAATAACAACAAAGAATCATTTTATAGCCCCTTCAATACTTTGGTTGGCATACAGTAAATAGAATGAATGGACAGCCAAACGAAACTTAAAATCTGAAACCAATCAAAGTGCTGTTTAAAAGCAAACGTGACCAAACAAACCAATCGAAACATCTATGGCTTTTATTCTGAACCAAATCTGTATATTTTCGGTTGTCCAATAAACAAACTGTCTTTTTACATCAGATAAAGTTTAAATCGTAATCAAACAGATGATCTAAGATAGTAACAAAGATAAACATTATATTTTTCCTACAGTTACCTAACAATGTACATGTTCTCTCACTGATTTGAGAAAGCAAAGTGGCCAATTCGCTCATCAGTGAGACAATGTTAACATTGTCTCACTCTAATTACTTTGTCTCACTCCAGATTTTCAACGTGAAGGCACGAAATAGTGAGCGCGTAACATAGGCAACGCCGTATGCGCGCGAAATACGTTGGCAGCACTGGCTGTAAATCAGCTGGTCAGCTGTTGTACTGTTGTATTTGTCACTTCACATTAAATATTATATTAAAAGTTCACTTCTATGTAAAAATAGGTTATGTTTCTTCACCAATTTATTTGTTTTATGGTAACTGTAGGAAAAGTATAATGTGCAACTCGAGTTCAAAGTACAATTGCCTCACTCGAGAAACCATTCCTCGAGTAAGGATTTCTCTCGAGTGAGTCAATTGCTCACTTTTCTCACTAGTTGCACAAATAACTATTACCATTAGTTTAATAATCTACATTCACCTTTTAGAGATGTTTTGGTTTAAACAGGTTGCGTTTTGTCTCCGTCCTTTATTGATATGTGAAAAAAACTTTAAATTAACATTTATACCTTTAAACTAGTCACGAAGTTTAGAAATACTAACATAGAAGACTTATATTTTAAATTAGTTTACATCTTTTTCTAAGCTCAGAAAACTACTAATCAATTTAAAAATAATTTGGGTAACTTGCAAGAAATTACATTAGTTAATTTTATTAATAAAATTTTTGTTATACTTCCGTCTTATTGTATCAGTATACCAATTTTAAAATATGTTTTTATTCACTTTAAAAATCTGTATTTTCATTAAGCTATACGTTGAATTGTTGACAATACGAGTGATACAACAGAGTATGATAAATGTGATCTAACTTTTAGTACCCTAGCTAATATTATATGCATAACACCTGTTTATGTAGGTCGTTGTTTTGAAGGTCATATACTCGTAGGTTGATTTTTGTCGTACAGTCATTTTTGTTTTAAAATCCTCCTCAGTACTATGTAAAACCCCTAAACGTAATAGATCTATATAGTATTTTAGAATGTAGTCTGCCTTTTTAAAACTTCCATTTGTCCTTCAAAACTGGCTTTGGGCATGTTCGTTCGTGGAACGAATCAAGCCAAGCAGAGCCGAACAGTACAAAGACTTCTGTGGCGGATTTTACGCCCAACGTGCTATCCACTGAGCCACCAATTCACTGACTTAGAAAATACGTTATGAGGACGAAGGAGAATACAGTTTTCACATACAGTAGATCCTGACATAGATATATTTACATTTCTTATGATTTACAAACAACATTGCGAGAAACGATCAATGTTTCTATTGTTAGATACTTACAAGTTATAGTGTACATCAGCCATGTTTGGTCTGTAGTGTAGGGCGAGTCTTAGGGCCTGTTCAGCCTCTTGAAGCCTTCCTGCACTACTCAACACGCTACCGAGGTTTCCATATGCTGGGAAAACAGAATGCAGATAATCGAAAACCATTATATTTTAGATTTGTGCTAAAGATAAATAAGTATGTTAGAGAGGCACGGCAGGTCTAATGGTTAAGGTTTGTCTCTTGATCCTCGCTGTCTAACTGGGGACTAGCTATTTGTATAAGGCCAGGTAAACGGAAGGGACTGTTTCCAACAAACCGACTATAGTAGTTTTCTTTCCCAATGACTCTTTTTTAATTCACTTTCCAAAAATTTGTGATGATGTCGTAATACCGTGGTCAGGAGAGTATTTGACATAGACATGAATTTTATTCCCAGATGAGGTCAATGTTGAAAATATCATACGATAGTTTGGTAACATGTTAGTTTTATAAGCTTTAAAAAACATATATGCTGGAGTTTACTAACTTGGGTAATCATACACAAAAGATGTGTACCAACATTGTTTGGTGTATGAGTATTGTTAACTTTGCATTTAACTGATAAACATTCTATATGATACACAATTTCACGCAGCATATTTTAAATTTAAAATCATAGCGTTACTTTTGTAAATGTGTTTTGTAAAAGCAGCAAGTATAGTCATTTTTATATCTGACAATTAAGGCATTATACATTATTCATTATTTCTTACTAACATATTGAAAAGTGATTGGGTCTAAAATATTTACTTGGAACAGTGTTTTGAATCATTATCAGAACAAAGCTTTGAGATTAAATTGTTTCAATAAAAATTCTAGATTACCTTTAGCAGGATTGACGCTCGTTGCAGACCTATACAGGCTCTCGTCATCTTTCCAATCGCGGTTCCTCTGTAGAGTCTTTGTAGCAAAGGCAGTCAGTAAGAGGAAACAGCAGACTAGAACTAAAGACTTCCTCCCATTGGTATACAGTACATGCGACCCAAGGGCAACAAGAAGACAGAACCCTATACTAGGAATGTACAGAACCCGTTCAGCAACCACAAACCCTACGTAGAAGAAAATGTTGGCCGCTGGAATAAAAGGAAGGGCGATAAAAACAAGGCACAACATTCCAGCAGATCTTCTGTTCATTAGTGGAAGAAGGTACTCCAAACACACACATTTCTGGATAGGGTTGTTGTTGTTATTGTAAAGCCTACATGAAGAAATATGGGGTTCTGAGATATGCTGACATGTTTTACAACAATTTTTTGGTTTAGAGAAGTGTTTAGAGGCTGGAAAGTAGCTTTTCAAAGACACTTTTATTGATCGAAACAGTAAAGCGTAAAACGCAATTGTAAAAACGAATCTATATTCAAATAAACTTTGAACTCTAGGAATTGCATCCATTGACCAATCGAAGCTAAGGGATTTAGGGAAAAGTAGAAGTATAAAGTTGAACAGTGGTAAATAAAGAAACGAAAGAGTTCTTGTGATAAGTGAACCATCTTTTGCTATCGGGTTGTCTGCTTTTGAAAAGCTGGGAGTTTTTAGACCCATGATTAGGAGTCGTGTGAGGATAATGGAAAAGAAGGCAATCATAGAAGCTGAGGCACTCGGTGGACTTGACCATTTCTGGAACAAATAGCAATGGTATTACTAGCCTTATCGTTGTTGGTAAGTAAACGCCCATAAATAGATGTGTGTTTATGTGAAAAAAATATGTTGATAAGGTAACATTTTAACTTTAAGCTATTTTTTTATGTAAAGCGTTTATATGAATGGCAGTTCAAAAAATTCCTGTTTGACATTTTTATCAATATAAACTTCTCTTATCGTCATCCAACTATCTTTCTCAGAGATATGATACTATCAAACATCATATAACTATTGTCATAACCTATTATAACATACTAAAATCCTACTATCCTACTAATATTATAAATGAGAAAGTTTGGATGGATGTATGGATGTATGTTTGTGACAAGTGAACGCGAAAAATACTGGTCGGATTGGGCTGAAATTTGGCATGATGATAGCTCACATTCCCGATTAACATATAGGCATATTCTTATTTAAAAAATCATTTTGGGCTCCGCCCCAGTGGCTCTGGAGTTTCCCATGTTAACCTTATGAGAAATGGAATTATTGAATTTTAACAGCTGTTTCAACTAAACAAGTTGGTTCTGTTCTATGATGTTCAATAGCATTAAAGTTACAAGGATTACCAACAGGGTGCAGCACTATTATTTCTTTTACATTTATGACAACAGCTAATTTGCAACCAAAAGGTGAGTGAGCATAGCGAACGAACTTCAACCTGGAGGTGAGTTAGCGTAGCGAACGAGCTAACCTGAAAGGCAAGTGAGCGCAGCGAACGAGCTCCAACCTAAAGGTGAGTGAGCGTAGCGAACAAACTTCAACCAGGACGTGATTGAGCCATGCAAACGAGACAATCTTGAAAATTAAGAAGTTAAACGGGGCAAAGCCCGCGGGTTACAGCTAGTGCAGAAATAAAGTTACTCACGTGGTGTTTGAGCTTGGTCGATCGAAGATGAAGAATAACGTCATAGCAGACCGCTACTGGTATCACAGTAACAGCTGGTTCCTTACACAACACAGCCAATACAGCAAAAACAAAGAATAGTGTGTAGAAAAACGTTTCACTTTTTGGAAAAGTAATTTTCCCTAATAATTGTAAATATAAGCTACTTCTTGTCACACAAAAAGATCCATTTTGTGTTTTCACAGCACAACCTTTTACCGATTTAAATTTGACACTATTCAATCTCAATGCACTGTCTCTCACTTTCACATAGTTTACATAAAATAAAAACGACATAAGAAAAAATATAGCAGATAGAATATCGGCTCTTCCCACGATTCCGGCGACAGCCTCCACGTGAATAGGGTGGACGGCGAAGAGGGCAGCGGCGAGAGTAGGTGACCTCCCTGGCAGGAAGACCCGAGCTGTCTTCATCACCAGAGTGGAGGCGATGGTATGCAGGAGGACGTTGGTGGCGTGGAACCCAAAGGGGCGGAGTCCCGAGGCCCACACGTTCAGGCGAAAGGACAACACGGCGATGGGGCGGAAAGAGCCATGAGAGCTGCTAGACGACAAGGGAGTGCCCCAGAAGTCATTGTGGAAGACTTGGAAGATTGAAGAGGAAGGTAGAACATCTGGGTTGGTCAGGATCGCTCGGCTGTGAACAAAATGTTGAGTTATATAGTCTGTTTGAAGTTTATAAGTTTTGAAATAATCAAATATTTAAGTATGTAAAACACCATGTTTAAGCTAAGACTATTTGTTATTGACATAACACTTCGGCATTATACAGGTAATTTTCGGAGTCCATTTTTTTGAAACTAGTATTGCAAGAGATAAAAACATGTTGATGCAAGAATATTAAACATATATTACAAACATTAACGAAGTTCACATGAAAACATTACCAATGGACTTGTGTCCAATTTTCATTGCTTTCAAAGTTCAAACATAGCCAAGTCTTCAAGAGCAGAGTTACATAAGTGAATCACCCCGCCTCTTAGATAGCTGCTTGGTATGCTAATGCTCGTAATACGGAGAGTTGTCTTTGACTCAGTTAACTCCATCCCACTTAGTATATTATGCACGCACTTGGTTTTGTTGAGATCGGGCTCGGCTGAGTGGAGTTAGAAACACATTTGCAATCTGTTTGAATATTATTTACCTTTGTAACAACTTTTACTGAAACCTTTCAAGAAGTCTAATTGCGAGGAAGTATTTCAACGTGTTGGATCAAATAAAGTGTTTCGTTGATTGTGAATAATATTTTGATATGTTTTATTTGGTTAAGTTAAACTTAACTCAGTTTAGGTTTGAAATAAATGCATCACTAGGGTAGGTTTTTTTTATATGAATTGTGTACAGTATCACAATGTAGAATACAATCAAAACTATTAGGCAAAAATATCATTTCCAATGTTAAACGAATGGCCAAAATGGAGTACGAACTAGACCATAAACATTTAGTGATGAAACCAGTTTATTGATAAGCCCTTGGTTAATTAATTTACAATTAGCTTAATTCCAAGCAAGGTTATGGATCTAAATGTCATTTGTGATTGGACTGTCAATTTGTGATTGTTTACTGCAAGGTTGACGTTAATGGTAACGAGGCTGCAATTCTAAATATAAACTGTTTTGCTTGGAGGATATTAACTTAAACAATTTGGATTTTTAAAATAAATTTTACTGACCAAGTATTGATTAAGCCATCAAACAGTTAAGAGCCAAGTAAAGCACCTTTCGAACCAGTTAGTTAATCTGGAGTATTAAACGACCTGGTGATAAAACGAGAAGACGATAAATATTTATGGAGCGAGACGAGATTTGACACAGTCATAAACTCTAGTATCGTTATACGAGATGACGTCACGTACGGGAAAGTCGTGTGACGCGGAAACGAGGGAAAACTGTATATTTTATATTGATCTTATCAAACTCAAATGTAAAATTACATAAGAGATATGGAAGAAACTGGTTATGAAGAAAATCTTTAGTCCCAATTCCTTGAGTGATAAGGCTTGAGATACTAAGGCAGATTTAAACTTACGTAAAGTGAATAAAATAGATCCAATAACATTTTTTTTATGTGTCGAATAGTGATTTGTTAACTTGTAAGCTATTTAGATTAAAATTATAAGCTTGGCCAAAATAATATTCGTTCCTTGTCTAACCTAAATGTTCTTCAAACAGTTTATAATTTTATTGTTGTTTGCGCTGATTTAAGCAAAGTCAGACAAAAATACTGTTTTGGAAAATATGAAATTTAGTACGATGATCATGCACCTGCTTAATTTAGAAGAAACTGCGTGTTCTGGTAGAATAAATTATAAATTAGCTTGTCAATATGGGAAGATTTATAATATAATATAACTTTTGCATTTTAGAACATTAACTTTAAACTCGTTATCCTTCTTAAGGTGGATTATAATTTTTAAACGAACATATTTATTCGTTTTATTAAAAAGAGATAGTGAGTGGCAAAATCTAAATTGTGTGTATCTATTTACGTACATTCTGGCCACAAAATACTTATCATCTGTTTTACAACTTAATATGAATTCATTTAATTCTGATAATGTACTTGAAGGCTAAAATTGTATGGATAGTGATATCCGAACAAACGGTTGCTTTCTCATTATTGTTTAATTTGGTGGTATGCCTGTACAAAATAGTTAACCGAAGAGGGAATTTCAAAATGGAAAGTCAGGGCGTTTGCATTGTTTACAAACCTCAAGCCATCTTGTTTACCTTTGTAGTGTAAAGATTAGAATGAAATGTAATGTCCTACTTAGTTTGCTTCTACCAAATATGTTTTTTTTTATTTAGCTAACATTTCCATATTAGCAATCAGAGTCTAAAAACAATATCACCATCAATCTATATGTAAAATGCAGTTCATGTTTAAGACAATTTATTGGTTGTCTAAGAAGATTAAAAGATACTTTTTCCGTAAAAATTCTGTTTTTAGAGGTGCTTGCCATAACACATCAGAATTGAATGAATGGATAACTTTTTTGTCTAAATAAATGAGCTTGTAAATATTTTCGTGAAAGGTAATTAAACTACACCAACAGTAATTATAAACTTAGTTGAACTGTGTTCATCCTATCTGGAGATAATTTTGGTTAATAAATTTACTATAACTTTATCGGAATATCATTTGATACAAAAAAATCCTGGATGATAAAGTAAATAAGTGCTATGATTTTTTTTCTTTTTCTAACAAGATAGTATGAATGCTGAGCAGGTTAAATTTACAGCATATACCAAATTGGAGAGTATAGCTGAATATATGTCTGTAAATTTATAATTGACATGTGTAATAGAGATATTCCTTTCACTCTTGTCCAATTAGATGGAAACTTAGACGGAAATCAAATAACATCGTCATAGCAAAGACGACTAAACAAGTTACCTTGACAACTCGCACTCTACTTGGTATGTAAATGTCTGTGACATTGGGGGGATGACTTTGGCTGTCATCCTATTTGCTGCTGAGTTAGACATGTAGCCTATTTCAAATTGAATAAAGATGGCGTAGAAAAAAGGCTATACAGTGGCTACGTGGTATGTAAATTGGAATTTCTTTCGTTTAGGGAGATTTACTAAATTATGATGATGAACTATTATTATTAAATTAAATATTTAGGCATACAGAATTTTCGAATGTACCGATTCATTTATTGAGAATATAGGATAATTATTTTTAGTACAGCAGTACATCAGCTCTCATGTAAAATCCCTATTAAACATTTAAATTGAGACTTGAAGGGGACAACACCCCCCCCCCCCCCATCGACCACAGACCCCCAGACATCGTGGGTTACAAAATTAGTATTAAATCTTAATAGATCTTAACGTTTAAAGTGTACTTTGTATTTGCAGAGGCCTATAAGAACATCTAGTAGTATGCAGCACTGTACACTTACGATTGGCAGGTATATATAACATTTACGATCGTAAAAGCAAACTACACCCTCTAGTCATGTTACGAGTTAAACCTTCACGTTACACTATCAAAACTGTTATAGCAGTAACACATAGTGTACCTTAAGAGACTGCATGCATCAATTTATGCAATACCAACACTAAAATAGTAGTTTACGCAACGATTGTGTAAAGATAGTGTTAACGTCACGAGTAGAACATTAAAGGTACGTTACTTGGAGAGTGACTTAAAAACGTCTACGAGTGATGTTAACACTACGCGAGTATTAATTAATGGCATATTAGCGGCGATGTAATAATAATTAAAATACCTACAAGTTTATATAAATTGCCTCAGATATAACACTGAAAAACCTTTACTTAATTCACAGTAATGGATTCATATTTTTAATAGCATTTGTTTAGAAAGATACGAAAATAAGTTTTTGTAATCTTTGTACATGACTTCTCGGTCCGAAAAACTATAAAAGCAAACAAAACTTTTACAAAAGAAATATAATACCAGTATAACAACCAGTGCATGTATGAGTGGCACGTGTTGTTGCAGTAAAGATGGCCACCAGTACATGTATGAGTGGCACGTGTTGTTGCAGTAGAGATGGCCACCAGTACGTCTATGAGGGGCACGTGTTGTTGCGGTAGAGATGGCCACCAGTACGTGTATGAGTGGCACGTGTTGTTGCAGTAGAGATGGCCACCAGTACGTGTATGAGTGGCACGTGTTGTTGCAGTAGAGATGGCCACCAGTACATGTATGAGTGGCACGTGTTGTTGCAGTAGAGATGGTTACCAGTACATGTATGAGTGGTACGTGTTGTTGCAGTAGAGATGGCCACCAGTACATGTATGAGTGGCACGTGTTGTTGAAGTAGAGATGGCCACCAGTACATGTATGAGTGGCACGTGTTGTTGCAGTAGAGATAAGACCGTGACCTGACAAGAACTGCGTGAGGTAATAGTCAACCTCACCGTGCCGCCGTTCTACCCACGGTTGGACCTGCCTGATGAGTCTGGCAGTCCAACGTCCTCGAGTCTCCCTTTCCCAGCTTTCTTGCCACATCTGAAAAGTGCGGGAGCGCTCTTCTGTTCTTGCAGCGTCCTTTCCGATGTAGCCTTGTCTCTGGTAGATTGCCTTCCTCTCCGCTGCCAAGAGTTTGACTGGGATAACTCCAGCGATCACCAAAACGGCCGGTTCGGACACCGTACGGTACGCGGAAGCGACCCTGAGTGCCGCCTGACGCTGCACTCGTGCGAGCCTCAACCTATACGCCTCCTTGTTAAGCGCGTCTGCCCACACCTCAGAGCCGTAGAGAAGCACGGACTGGACTGCAGACATCAGTAGTCTTCTACGGCTGGACCGGGGACCACCGACATTGGCCATAAGCCTACTAAGAGCAGCGACACTCCTAGCAGCCTTGTCCGCCGTACGGACGTGTTGTTGCAGTAGAGATGGCCACCAGTACGTCTATGAGGGGCACGTGTTGTTGCAGTAGAGATGGCCACCAGCACATGTATGAGTGGCACGTGTTGTTGCAGTAGAGATGGCCACCAGTATGTGTATGATTGGCACGTGTTGTTGCAGTAGATATGGCCACCAGTACGTGTATGAGTGGCACGTGTTGTTGCAGTAGAGATGGCCACCAGTACATGTATGAGTGGCACGTGTTGTTGCAGTAGAGATGGCCACCAGTACATGTATGAGTGGTACGTGTTGTTGCAGTAGAGATGGCCACCAGTACATGTATGAGTGGCACGTGTTGTTGAAGTAGAGATGGCCACCAGTACATGTATGAGTGGCACGTGTTGTTGCAGTAGAGATGCCACCAGTTCATGTATGAGTGGCACGTGTTGTTGCAGTAGAGATGGCCACCAGTACGTGTATGAGCGGCACGTGTTGTTGCAATAGAAATGGCCACCAGTACGTGTATGAGTGGCACGTGTTGTTGCAGTAGAGATGGCCACCAGTACGTGTATGAGTGGCACGTGTTGTTGCAGTAGAGATGGCCACCATTATATGTATGAGTGGCACGTGTTGTTGCAGTAGAGATGGCCACCATTATATGTATGAGTGGCACGTGTTGTTGCAGTAGAGATGGCCACCTATACGTGTATGAGTGGCACGTGTTGTTGCAGTAGAGATTGCCACCAGTACGCGTATGAGTGGCACGTGTTGTTGCAGTAGAGATGGCCACCAGTACGTGTATGAGTGGCACGTGTTGTTGCAGTAGAGATGGCCACCAGTACGTGTATGAGTGGCACGTGTTGTTGCAGTAGAGATGGCCACCAGTGCATGTATGAGTGGCACGTGTTTTTGCAGTAGAGATGGCCACCAGCCCGTGTAATGCGGGTACGCCCTGCCGCCGCCTCTCTCAGACAATCGATCACTTCCGCTTGTCAGTGTACCAAGGGACGAGAACAAACGGCCTCGGCAAACGTTGTATCTACTGCATGCTTGTTGAAAGAACCCTTATTTTTATGTGCTGCAAATGGTTATTTCGTGTTAGTTATTCGGTCTATCTTTCCTTTAGGGATTTATGCCACACCTAAAATCTAAGTCTTTGTCTTTCTTAACCCAACATTGTAACTATTCGAATGTTTGTACATATTAATTAGTTTGTTCTGTCCCTTGAAAGATATTGTTACTGTTTTTGTACTTAGTATTAAAAGTTGATTTAGAGATACTGCATCTTAAATGCGTGTTACGTACTTTTTAGGAGTGTATTTTCCACTTGTTTGCATATTGGAGACAAAATAAAATATGTTTTAAATTACGTTAATACCTATTACAAAAAACGGTATCCTCTGCAAACCTTTCAAGTATTTAACAAGTTCATTTACATGCTGCGTAAATGCTTCACAAATGACAAACAACGTTATAAATCAATTCGTTTACGACAAGAATATACAAATTGTTCTTACTGGTCATCGTAGACGAACCCGTGGCCGAGGGTGTTGATGTAGACGACGAATGAGAGGAAGCAGACAGCCAGGCCGTCCAGGTCCCAGCGGCCGAGGCCCATCATGCCTCTGAAACAACAAAATAATTGTTAGTTACAGGCTTGTAAGCATTGATTGTGTTAGATACAATTTTTTAAAGTTAGTAATGTCTTGTGATTCCAAAGCGATGATATGTGCAAACATGGCGTTGATGTTCATAGGACTCTACCACCTGATGTTGATTTTGATAGAGAACGTGATTCTGAAATAAACAACATATTTTTTTATCAGCTTTGACCGTTTTTAATCGTTAAATACAGTGGGATTTAAAGTTACTGGACAATAGAACGATCCTTTTCCTGGACGTTTTGGTAGAAAAGTAATCATACACAGCTCTTAAAAATAGTAAATTATTATTATTAAAATACTGACCAATTTTGAGACCGTTTGTGGGATATAGAATTTATCTAATCCGTCCAACAAATAACTGTTCAACTGTTTGGTGAATATTATAAAATTAATTATTTTTCTACCCTTAAAATTGCCAATTAGGGATGGACAATAGAAAACAAACCGATACCTGTTTAAAATGTACTGCACTTAAAATAAATTGAGTAAAATGTGTAAAGGATAATATACTGTAAGCCGTTAGTTCAAAAATCATAGGCTACAAAATTCTATCACTAAGAGCAGCAGTGAAAACTGAATTCCCATAATACCGAAATGAATCAAAAACACAAATAACCAAATGGCACAGTCGCATTAAATGCGCACGACACAATATTCACTTGAATAAATATTTCCAACCTGATTTATTTATAATACACATTGAATGCATTAGTTTCAAATCGTGTTGATGTAAAATAGCGCTGCAGCAATCGTTTTAGTTGCGCATGCAGCGTAGAATAATCCAATTAATTGCATGCAGCCCGACTCGAAAAGTGACACTTGTCAATTAAATTAAATTTTTCCAATAATCCATTTGGTGCAAATTGAATTGCGCTGCAGAATTATTTGCTGGCTGGATGTAATTTTATCAAATATATTCCATCCCGCTCCACAACGTTAATTGGGTTTAGTCGTATAGTCTTGTTATTTGACATTTTCATCTTTGTATTTATTTATCTGGTATTAACGTAATGAAATATATACCGTACATATATACTTTGAGAGGGACAAATAAAGCATAGTGAAAGCCTTGAACTAAAAGACGGTTTTATACCTTCGATCATTGTTTACTTAACGAAATCAGAAGTTCCAACTAGAATATACTAGAATAATATGTCAATCATAATTACTTCTATTCAAATTGATATGTTTATTTTCTGAACTTTGGTTCTACAAAACTAAATCAAGTAATTACTATACATTTATGTAAAATGAATAGTATACTTTATCTACTTAAATACACTTATAAAGTAATAAATTTAGCTTGGTACGATACGTGAAATGTGGATTTAATTATTACAGTACAGTACTTCTGAAATCAAAATGTAGTCGTTTCGTATTAGGTCCTAAACATAAAATGAAATTTTTTTCAATAGTAAAAACTTAGTTTTTTATTAAAAATTACTATAAATTTATCGATTGTATATAGAAACTATACATATCATTTTATTTAGACTACAACAAAATTGCCATTTCGGAGCACTATACTCATATTTTTTCACCATACTTTCTACTGTATACTAACTTTTTCTTTAAAACCAATAACAAAACACATTCTACACAAATTATTATGATTATCTATAATAACACTAACAATATAACCGTGACTCAATAACAGTTAAAACTCACGTTCTGGACGACATTTGGATGTGTTGAAGTCATGAAATTTATAAAAGTTATTATTGTCACTGCACTAAATAAGTTAGGTATCAAAATACTAGAAAAATACGTAAAAAATTTACTTTTGGAGGGAAGCCCGCGTAAGGACCCGCATCGCAGGGCCCTCGTCACTGAACGTGGAACGGTTCATCAGGATCAATATCGGCGCGCGCACCTGCACACACACACACACACACACACACACACACACGCACGCACACAAACCACCACTTGTTGACCACGATGAGTCAACATCTGTTGCACGCTTGACTTTTTGCCCGCAACTCTTTCTGTTTATCTTAATCCGACCCTTTCTGCTCTTTGAACTTTGGTGTGAATTGACTTTTTCGTGTTATTAAAAGTGTCTGTATATGGTGTTTTTCCGTTTTTCGTTCTATGGGTATGTCTGTATCTCATAAGGTGCGTCCAAGGGTTGATCGTATGAATCTTTGTGGAAAAACTTAGAAGTATGACTAAGAGCTTTCCATGTAAAAACTTGAATTTAAAAACTATAAAATTTGTCAACATTTTCTCGATTACATTTTTAGTTAGTTGTTACTAACTAAAAGTTAAAAAATTTCAAATTTGGCACGGTTTTAGTTGTAATTTGATAGAGGAATATAGAATAATATAGAAATAATTATCCCGTTTGTTTACTTAAAATATATATTATATTTAGGGGTTCTCAAAGTATGTTTTATGAATAATTACAGCAAAAGCATATAAAAAAGTTGGCTCCACAGGTTGGTCCTCAAACTATGATTACTTTGAAGCCTCTTAGGAATATCATAAGGCTTTTCTGGTTCACAAATTGTAAAGATCCATGTTATCTGCAAAAAATTTGATCTACGTTGAGTTAAAATTTATTTTCCGAGTAAGATTTTAGAGTAAATAATTCTATTCTGTATAAGATATCATGTATCCAATATTTCATAGTACAGCTATGTGTTAGTGACACTCAATTCTTTCCCTTTGTCGACCCTTCCTGATGGATATGTGGCTTAATAGTTTATATGGATGTGGACATTAAGATTTAGCTTTCTAAAGGGGATAGTTTGTTTAATCTTTAGAGACAAAATAACTAACCAGGACAGTACGTTTATGGATTTTTATAATTAAAATTAGCCCTAGTGGTAAACAGCTTAGAAGATAATCATAATTACGTTTTAAACGCCAATTGTTGGAAGTTTATTAAACTATACCCAAAAATTTAAAAAATGCATACATTTGTATTGTATTTGAAATTAATTTAAGTCATAAATCCCCATAGTTAAAATAAGAATAAATCGCAAATGAGTACAGTGTTAATGCATTTGTATATATGTATATATTAATGTGAAATTGAATCAGATGTTCATTATTTACACATTAAAAGGTATTAGTATAGTATTAGTATTAACTTAGTATTTGAACTATCATTGATGATGAAACTCAATCAAAATTAAATAAAAATAAGAGTATTTAATATATTGCTCGCTCTTTAACCAAGAAAAACTTTAATTTTAATAAGAGAGTCAATTTCTTATTTAAGTTTAGACAAAGCAAAATAAAAACAAAGAACTAGACGAGGTTTACGTGAATATTTGAATATTATCTATAGATTATTAGGACAATAGTTTTAATCTGTCGTAAAAAAACCGACGTTTATAATTTATCTGTAAACAATCATTATTTTGATAAGGGCTTTAACATTTAAAATAAACGCAATATATCAAAAAACCTTTTGTGAGTATTTCCCTGAACAAATATTATTTTGGCAAGATCTTCAATCTATCATTGCAATACTGCCAAAACGCAAAAAGCCCGAAAAAATTATAGCAAATATTATTCTTCTCGATGACAAGCTAACGACGTCATTTTGTTACAACTATTATGTGGCAGAAGCGTCAATCCAACCCACCAGGGAACCAAAACTAAAGTACAACATAAATTAAGTGAAATTCTCGTTCTAGAGGGAAAGCAGAACAAATGATTTCCCTTTGAACATACACTATTTGAAGAGAGCCTTAGGGCCTAATCGTTATAAAAACGGAAAGAAAATCATTTACCGTTGAAAAAAAAAATAAATTAAACAAGAGCTTCTGTGTATATAAAACTGCTTAAAAAACAAAAGGAGTTTACGAATATAGTTTTGTAAAACGGGATGATGCAATACGATTGATTTACCCAAGAACAAACATTATGTTGTACTGCACTTTAGTTTTGGTTCCATGGTTAATTGAATTGACGCTTCTATCAACATAATCATTGCAAAAAAATGATGATATTATTAGCTTGTCATCGAGAAGAATAATATTTGCTATAATTTTTTCAGGGTTTTTATGGTTTGGCAGAATCGCAATGAGAGATTGAAGATCTTGCCAAAATAATATTTGTTTAGGTAAATACTCGCATAAGCTTTTCCTTAACAATACTCTATATTGTTCTAGAAGTATTGTTTTATTTCAAATGTTAAAGCTCTTATTAAAATAACAAACAATTTTACATTTATTCGAACGAGTTCGCAAACCGGCATAATCGGACCATGGGATCACGGGTTTATGGGGTTTTTATGGGGTAAAAATGGGTTTTTCTCATTTTGACCCTAAAAACTTAAAATTTCTAAATTTCTTTCTAGACCATTTTGAAGATTATAAGATCTAAACCTTTAATTATAGATTATAGTGTTTTGTGATTTGTTATTAATTGCATGTTGTATCATGACTTGACTGCTATACAGTGCATATTTTTTGACTACTACCCACGGTAGTGTATTCCAACTTAGGTTGGACGTTTGTGTATTGTTAGTTGTAATGTGTTAGTTAAGTTTTTTCACCTGAAGACGGGATCAGATTCCAGATCCCGAAACGTTGTGTATTGTTTTTTACATTCGTGATGGAAAATGTCCGCAATAAACCTTTGAACAACATTAACTCACCATCACCAACAATGAACTTCAAACAAAGGACATTTTGAAGAGCTTAAAAAAACAAATAATTTAGTATATTGAAGTGTTTTTGAATGTTCATTGACAACGGAGAAAATTAAAAAAATTGTAAATTTAAAATTACCATGTTATTCTTATGGAGAATAAATAAACAGTTCTAGTTTGCTTGTTTATGGATATATTTTAATCAAATTTGGCAATTTGGTTTATTTCATACTGAGCTATCAATATTTCAATTGAAAAAACACATTTTAACATCTTCCCCGTAGCAGCAAACCTAACTACTCACTAATATTAATGTTATTTAAATAGGAAATAAATCTGAAAATTTATAGGGAATATTTTAGTAGAAATAAAGCCGGGTAAATGGAAATTCGCTTAGTATGCAGGTTTGCTGCGACGGGGGTATTTTATCAGAGCTTCAATCAATTGTTACCCATGGAATACAATTACTTTTAAAAGACTTTCAATCCATCGTTGATAAAACCCAAAGAGTAAAATAAACAAAGCGAAATTAAGAGTATCGTTGTGAAGGACAAGCTCTTGCTAATTGTCCCACGGAGCTCCCCCAGCCTCATTGAACGGGGATTAATTAACATGGAATGTAATCAGCTTTGTTACTCGGGCATTAATCATTACTTTAATTATTTTAGAGTGCCTTCGATTGGCTGATGGGAAGACCCACTCGAACCATCAATTATCAGACTCTTTTTCGTCATTTTTTGTAAAATTAATCTCCAATCTTTTGTTTAGTTTTTCCTCCACTTTATTGGATTTAATTTTATATAAGTTTTTCCCTCTTGAGAATTTTATTTGAATACATACTTAAGTATAAAACATCGACTATATATGGCTATATTATATTTATGTCACACCTTTAGCCGGGAACTTACTACACACTACTTCAAGCTAGTCCTACAGGGTCGTGGCATTAGGCCTATCACATAGATAAAATCCATTGGTGATAGGTGAGATTAGAACCCGGGACTTTGGGCACCGAGTTCTACCAATAGATCAGCTCGCTCCCCTTGTAATTATATTTTAGATAGTCATATTTAATTTGTGTAATAACAGTATGGATTAACTCAGCTGAGGATAATTTACAAGTACATGCCTAGCAAAACTCGATACTTTTGTATAGATAGCTTTGTGTTATTTCATTTTGCATTGGTTAGTTTAAAATAATTAAAATTATTTCAAACACATAGAACGATTTATTTGTAAACTATTTCGTGTTATAAAGTATCACGAGTAAAAGGTAAAAAATGTATGTTAACATTAAAAATTATTCATTGGAATCAACACACTCGGGTACTCTAAGTCAATGCAATATTCTTTTAAGATATCATATATTCATATATGTCTCTAACAAAATCATAATGGAGATTAGTTGTAGACTTTTAAATTAATAATAAACTAGTAGTCGCATTCTAACCAACAAGTGTCCAATTTAAATAGTTTTAAAATAATCTAACCCTAGTAATTTTTTACCACGTATATTTTATAGTATGCTAATTTATTATTCTATAAACATTTTACACAACAAAAATCAATTAACTATCTACGACTAACAATAAAAGTTACAATAGACAATACTGATCACCCCTCTTTTCTTTCTATCAGATCTACAGCTTTTAATTAAATCTCCGACCTTTCAACTCCCTCAGTTCGATTCGACGAATGCCACGTGGGCCTTCAACCATAAATTAAAACGACTCGCGAGGGTGAAGCTGCCATTTGATTCCTAGGGGTGTCGTGGGGTGGGAACAATGATCGGATTTTTGAAAGAGCTCTGAATTGCGCCGTAACCAGACAGCAAATTGCAAATGATGAAACAGCTGAAGGGCTCGTCGCTTTATCGTTGTTTGGTTTTGGATTTGATTCTGCATCCTGCACAAACTGAGTAACCGACTTGATTATATTTCGTTTCGTTTTAAAGTCTAGAACTGTTTATAATATTTTGGTAAATGATTGTATAGTAGTGTGAAAACTTGTATAGAATCAAAAACAAATTGTATTTGTTAATTTACCCTAACACTTACTGCATAATTTATAAATGATATAGTAAATTAGAGAGTTATCTGATCCATATGTAACGATTTATTATAATTAGTCATCCTTGATGAATGTAGTGAATTCGTGAATATCAAAAATG